ATACAAATGTGGAAACCTTGTGTTTTTATCTGCACAAAACCCATCTAGCCATAATCCACTGTTGAATGAAAGAAGGCCTATTTGCTCTGCCACAGTAGGTGCAAACAGGATTCATGGATTGATTGATGTAATTAAGCATCATGGCTTCAAATAGGTGCTTTTCTATGTTTGGGAATCAGTTTCAAGGTCATTTTGCAACTGGCAGGTCACAGAGAGAAGGAGCTCAGTCCTATAGCAGGGAAGGCAGTATCTTTCTCTTGTCAGTAGATTAACCAAGAAAATGTTGATACAAGGCAATGACACACTGTCCTCCTAAACATGCAGATGAGTCTACATAATATTTGGATATGGAAAGTGCAGTGCTGTTATCAGGACCCTCTGCTGTCACCATTTTAAAAATTTAGGTGAATTAAGGTCATGTAGCCACAGAGACAAAAGGCCAGGGCAAAATGTATTGACAATAAAATATGTCTAGTAGATTGTGGGCAATTTCAGATGAGTCACTTGGACAATAATGGAGTAAATCCCAGTATTGTGAAGAGCAATCCCACCTACATATTTTGGAACTATTCCAGTTTGCTTAGCACTTTCCACAAGGATTTTAGCAGGGATGCCCTTTCACCATTTTGCTACATGACTCTTCTGCTTTTGTGGCTTCAGTCAGTTCCCAGACTATAAATTTTAAGTCTCAGATGTTACATTTATGCTACAGTTTGTTTCTCTGTTTTTTTTCATGCAAGATTTAATAATTACAGTGATATTTAACACTGTAAAAATCTCTATGTCTTTGGGAGAAATTCAAGTCTTTACAACTTGCTGCACAGAGTCATATTACTTCTGTGGTTTATAAACTTATTTCCTCTAACTCCTCGTTCTACTGCCCAGAGGGTAAAACACTGGGTTAATTTAAAACTTTTGCTTTATTTCATGCTAACTCACATCATTTGAGAAGGTCTAGCTATATGTGTTGCTGGCTGATGAGTTCTGCCATAACTTAGCTTCCTGTTGTCTGTCTGACCTTATTAATCCATGTGCCTTGTTTACATTCTGTTGGAGAAACGTTCTCATGTAAAGCCTTTGTAACTCAATTGTCTGTCAGATGAGATTAATTTGATCCTCAGCTTGGAAACAGAACCTCCACATAAATTAAATCTACGTGCATACTAATGAAATTATAACAAATCTTGGTATGTAGTTTCTCTTATTTTCTTTTTAATGATAACTGGCATAGAAAAATAAGCTTTTAGGTAATTGCTTTTACTCACAGTTGACTACAGTAAGAGAAAGAGCTTTTTTTTTTTTTAGTAAGCTGTTAAAAAAGCAGTTTTGTGTTACAAAACTTGAGGTGGTTCTATCTCACCTAGTATTTCAGTACCATTTCAGAAACCTGAAATGGTTTCTGTCTCCTCTCCTGTCCAGTATGACAAAAGAAAGTTATAGCTGTTTAGTTGACTGTATTTCCATTCTTTGTTGAATTTAAACTCTCCTCAAAGTCTCCTTACTGAACTCAGCATTGTAACAGCGCTATTCCAATAGAAGAGGTGACACAGCACTGAGCAGCTTTGGTGGAGCTCAGATAGCAAATTGTTACCTACACCTGAAGTTCCCCTAAGCCTCCTCAGTTGCTCTGAAGCACAGAGACATTACATTTTATGATACTACATTTTCCCAGTAATCCTAACACAATCCTCTTGGTGTTGATAGCACTGAATGCAGGTAAGATCTAACACACTTTACAACCAGGCACTCCTCTCCTGGTTTTGCCTGGGGGCCCTGCAGTTTTCAGTAATCAGAGCAAACAATACATCAGAGGTCATCTTCATTCTGTCTCATGGTTCATGATTTGACGAAGTTGGAGCAGAGCCTTCTAGAGCAAACCTACAGGCTTAGAGTGAGGACCTTTTTCAGCACAGTGGGCAAAAGCACCACTTACCACACCATGGATGAGTGAGGACATCACCTGCATGCAACCCCTTGTGGATTCATGCTGTAAATCAGATCAGTGTTGGGCTTCTCTGGCTTTAAAGAACATCACCACCCTGCCCCACAAGTGTTCTGGTCTTCAGTGCTGTTTATAGAAAGATGCTTTAATCCAGCCACAAGTATGGTGCCCCATGGCATGGAAATCAGGAAGGAGGAACAGAGAACAAGACAGAAGTTTGTAGGCTGGTATTGCCACCAAAATTGCCACATCATCACACTGCAGGATGATTTCAGCTCTGCCAGATAGTTCCCTGAAGCACCCAAGGCAAGAGACACTCTGTGATCCACCCCTCCACAAACAGCATGGAGATCTTGCTCGCATTTTCCCTGTACCCAAAGCTCTGGGGCTGAAGCATCTAACAGTTCAGTGCAGGAATGCTTGTGAGGCAAGTTCAGCTTTCCTTTTGCTCCATCTGATGGTATTTTAGATTGAAAGGATTTGGAAAAGATTTTCCTTCTAACCATATTGAACAGTCTAGGGTGAGGGAAGGGTGGAGAAAATGTAAGAAACAAACAGAGATTTTTCTCATAGGATTTCTTACTTTCATCCTACTTTAAAGTCTCCCTAATAAATAATTCTTGCATCCACACAGTGCCAGGGTATTTCAAAAGGACAAGCTGAATTTTTTCCTTATGCAATAGAAACTGAACTCCCTTTTTTGAATATACTTGATCAATGCATGCTGCTATCTTACCATATGCATCAACCAGATACTCTCCAAGGTATATATGTCAGGAACAGGAAAGAGTTAAGTCACACAACCAGCAAATCACTTTGGGTTCGTGCCTCACTCTGAAGCACATGTTGAAAGTATTACTGTAAGACAGACAATCCTGGGAAGTAAAGCTGCATCCTAAGGGTACATGGCAACAGACTCATTTTATATCAGCATAAGAGTTTGAACGAATCCAGGCTGAAGTGTTCAAAGGTTTGCTAGATCGGAGTAATCTATCAGGTGAACAAGGCCAAGGCATTTCCATTTATGCAGTTAACCCCATCGTGGAGGAAAGAGATTAACATACCACCTGGCTTCCTTGCACTTAAATAATCCCGAAAGACCTCTTTCACCTTGTTTGGTGAGGGGCTAACACATAAAGACATATACTCACATATCTGGCTACAGAGTGGGATGCCCTTAATTACTCTGCTTCTCCACCCTCTCCTATGCAGAAGAGTGTGCACAATGCCAGCCCAGGGACCCACAAACTCCATGTGTCACTGTATCTATCTTGTTTAGGAGATTGAAAAGCTGACAGCAGATAAAGCAGATACTCCAGACATTCAACAATTTCCTGTTCCACATGAAAAGTCAGTTTCCAGGTGTTGACTCCAGACTGCTTTTCCTACATAGCACTTGCCAACTGGGCTCCTGCTAGCAGGTACCTGTTGGGATGGCAACTTTTTTTTCTTGTCCATTGCCATATGCAGAGGACTTATAGGAGCACCAGCCTTTTCAAACCAGGCTTAAAAATAGCTTGTGCGGTGAGAATTGGGCAAAACTTACAGGAGTTAAGGATTTGGCTCCAGTATCTTCATAACCGAGCCACTCCCTGCAATGATCAATTTCTCCAACCAAATTACTCTTACACAAAATAAAAAGCTAGGATATAAGGTCTACAGAGAGTAAGTAGACCGAGGTATCAGTGCTATTTATAAGGCTTATCTTGGAAGGAAAAAAGCAGCTCACAAAACTGTTCTGTCAGAAACATGCATATCTTTTTTTCTCCCAGAAGGGTAACTTTCAGTACAAACCTGTACAGTTCAGGAGATTTGGACACTCAGGGTCTCATTCATGATAGCACCTCAAGCTCCAGAAAAGCTCATGAATATTACCAGGCTGTGAGTTCTGCAACACTCTGCTTCTTTTTTTCTAATCATTTTCGCAATCTTGAAATTACAGGTCAGTTGACTGCTGCCAGACTCACCTTGTGTTATTTCTGAAAGCTTTTCTTTGTAACAAATCACCAGTGAATAGCAACCACTGCCTCCTTGAATAGGCCTCATCCCTGATAAGATAGGATGATTACAAACTTCTGCTACTCTCACAGCTGAGAGAACAACTAACCTTTATTTACTTCATAGATCCTGACAATTACTGCTGCAGTTACACTGGAAAGTTCGTCAGAGGTCTTAATTAGGCTTCTTACAGCTGTGCATCCTCATCCCCGTGACAGCCATCTGCCCACAGCTCTGCCACCCCAGGCCCTGTGAACTGATGAGTTTTCATAAGCAAATTAATTCCTGAGCAAGAAATCTCCAGGTGAAGGTGCTTCCAGGAAAGCAGCACTGGGGACATTCTTCTCTACTGCAGAGTTGAGTCACTTGCCCCAACATGTCAGTGGAGGAGCCGTCTGACTGGAAACTCCCACTCCTTGATGAGATCTAAGGATAATACTCCACCTACCTCGGAAGTGAAATTTCTCTGTAGTTCTGCATGGCTCTCTGTATATATAAAACCCCTCTCTTGTAGCCAATACCTTTCTGTTCAAAATTCCTATACCTACCATAACAATATTCTACAATCAGTTATGCAACCATAACAAAACCCACGCCTCCTTCCACTCCCGTTTTTATAATCCCAAAGGCTTTCAGACTGTGGGAAGCACAAGACATCACACAGGTCTCTGATCAATCCCAGGCTGATGAAGACAGGGCAGTGGGCCTAACAGGTACCTTCACTCAGGCTAAATGTAACAGCGATTAAGTTCCTTTACAGAGGAAGATGGTTGGACACAGCAGGAATCACTGCCCAAGTACACCAGGTGGGACATGAATTTGCCATGGATACAGGTGCTCAGAGACAACTGGTTGAGCTACAGGAGCCTTTGTGAAAGAATCAGCAGGCCAGCAGACAGAGTAAGCAGCTCCAGTCTTGATCAGGAAGGAAGCAGAGGCTCTTTGAAACATCAGTTTAGCTAAAAATGGAAACATGGGCATGGTCACTAGGAAAAGTACTAATTTTTGTGTGTTCCTGCTACATTCAGAGATACTGCACCAAAGATGTATGGATTTATCAATGGGTTTATTCTCCTAGAAGAACCTGGGTAACTGACTGGGCCAGGAGGAAGCACTGTGTGACTGCAAGACACATATAGTGAAACACTGCAAATGTTAGTAGAGAAAAACAATCCTTTCACGACGTATTACTGGGCCTCAAAACAACAGGACGAGCTCCTCTACAGATACTAAACGGCCTGTAAAATCAACACAAGTTATTTTCCTAAAATACAGACTGCACTTGAAAGGTAAATAACTGATTTAATTAAGAAGTTAGTGAAGATTCTACAGATTATTTGGGAAGTGAGGATAAAATCATACTTGTACCTCCTGATCTTAACATTTTGATCAAAGTAGACATCTTGTCAAAACAAATATTTTGTTTACTCCTTTAGTTTTTCTTAGAGAAAATATCCATTAAAGCCAGTTGATCTACACTGTGCCTAAGGGGTTGTTTGGCAAAGGACATGAATGGGAGGAGATGCATCCTCTTCCAAGCATGGCATGGGGGAACACTGCTTAAAAGCAGAGGAGTTACTTAGCTTGATACAGTTATCAGAAGTATGTGCCTAATTTGGGAATTCAGTTAATAAAGATGAAAGATAATAGTTCACACCTCATAAAAATTTATTACAACAGGTTTGGGGGGGGAGGAGGGATTGTTTTGGGTTTTTTTCTGTTTATCCCCTATTAATTACCTTGCTTGTATCTGCTTGTGGATGGCTTTCTGTTGGGTTACTTGCCTTGCCAGTGCTGCATCCATATTTCTTAGGACATAACTTCCTAGCCATGATTTAAAACAGAAGTGATACTGAAGGGGGTGCCCACACCTACTCCACACCCATGCCCAGCCACACATACTTGTTTCCTTGCAGACACTACATGATCATGGATCTGGCCGTAAAATAACACAACACTGTAAATAAAGAATCCTTTTCAACCAGAGCAGAATAAGGAACACATGAGCTCCAGAGTCAGTGCAATACTAGTCACGTATGTCTGTATGATGGGAAATGATGGGCAGTAAACGTAGAAACATTAGAGGTACAGATTGTGTGTATAAAAAAAAATATCCAGGAGAGGAAAGAGTGCATGGTAGAAATCAGTTTTCCAGAGACTGTGTAGCAGCCACATTAAGTGTAAAATACACAAAAGGCATTCTTTTGCACAGCTGGTTTATTTCTAAGATTTCATATAATTAATTAACATCCTCCATATTCTCTGCATCAAGAAAAGCTTGAGAATTTTTTTTAATCTTTTAATTTTCTTTTCTCTAAGCACTAGAAAATAAATTATCAGTGTGCAGTGCCAAAAGGCAGGTTTCTTTTTATCATGAATGTACAAGAGATTACTTGCATGGCAGAGGGAGAGACTACCTTACACATTTCAGCTCTGCTCCTACAATACTTGGAGTGTGTCCTGGACTTCTGTATGTGTATGGCTTGAGTATATTGCCTGGTTGAACTCGAAGAGCTCTAATTTGCTCATTAATCTTTAACGAATAGTCCAACTTGCCAGAGTACTTTCATAGTACCAGGCCAAATTCCATCTTGCTTTTTATTTCATTCTAGTGCAAAAATTCTCAGAGTCACCAGAGGGCATCATTACAGAGAGCTTTATAAGTTTCACATAACTGATGCTGTAAAAAAGTAGATTTTGGAAAAAGTGCCTGCTAATAGTCATGGGAGTCCTTATAGAGACTGTGCCATTCACAGAACAAGGGAGTATTTCTGTCTGCCCTTTCTTTAGACTCAGCACAGTACCACACATACTCTGCATTGCTGCAAATACTTCAAAGAAAAATTCCACTGAAAATAGTTTAACTTAATTATAAGCAGATCCAAATCAGAGAATTAGCAATGGAGTAATTAAAAACGTGCGTTTCATCTTCAGCCATCTCTTCCTCTCCCCACCTTCCTCATATATCTTCTTTTAGCTGAACCCATTGTGATAAATCTAAGAGATTATGACAAACTAAAATTGAAATCTTACATACCATATTTCCTTTGACTTTATTTATTTAAGATCTTATTTCCAGTAAACACTTATTTTTTTTCTTCTCGATTGTGGCTTTGCCTCACAACGTGTTTCATCAGCAAAGAAAAATAATTTACCATCCTTTACCCAAAGGGACTTAAAGATGAGGAGTCAGTCTCCTATTGGTAGTATACAGCCTCCCAGCCCTCCCTGCCAGCAGGGAGTCTGTTCAGCTAATTCCCACACCTCTTCATGAGCTGTTGCTGCCAGACCTGCAGCTATGTTAAGAATAAAGCAGTTCCTTTCCAAACACATGTTTTCAAGGACTTGTATATTTTTATACAGTATCAGACTTCACATTATGACATCCTTTCCACTGATTATTGATAGATTCATTTGAACTCTATTCATGCTTATCTGTAAAGATAATCTTGCATGCAAGGACAGAATGTGGCAATAGTCAGAGCTCAGAGTTGGCTCCTAGCACGTCTAGGAAAGCATTTTATATGGAATTTAAACAATTCATTTTGTAAAAGACAGGAATTAACTGCTGCAATACTGAGTAAGGACTGCTGCAAGCCAGCAGCTCTGCTACATACACCCTCTTACCTGCCCCCTCCCTTCTTCCTGTAAATGCAAGATGCTACTTTTCAGTTATGTCATACTTACTATTGTGTATTTTAGGGAAAAGCATACACACACACCTACTGTGAAACACAAGATGAACAGGATGTGAAGCATCAATTTGGATTCAGCCTTTTACAATGTGTTTAGGAGTAAATTTGCAAATGATCTCTCACCAGCAGCTACATCAGACATGGCACTGCCAGATTTTCAAACACTGAGGTTAAGCTGCGCAGCCACAAGGAGCCTTTTGTTGATATTTTAAGGTAGGTAGGGTTCACAAAAGAACAACAATGACCACACACTTTGCTCAAATTATTACTGACAACATTCTGTGCTCAGGAATGGCTGATTTTGCTAAGGAGATTTGTCTCTGAATTCATTTACATTAGCTATTTCAGCTATGCAAACCACTCAAGTGAAGTCCTGTGCCTTTTGAAGGGCTTCATCCAGTACTTTGCAGAATACTCAATTACTCAGAAAACTTTCCTTCTTTATCTCTGCCTGGAGCCTTTCCCCATCCTCTTCAGGAAAAGAAAAAGGAAGGACAGAGTTCCCTGGGCAAAGGAAAGGTTCTTCCTTTCCCCCTCCCCCCAGTAGTCTGCAGATTCCCAAACGGCAGTCTGGACTATTTTTCACACAGCATCAGGTATGGTCATGAGATGGTCCCTCGTACTGAACAAAGCAGTTAACCACTCATGGTAGATGGCCTCCAGAGCGGACTGAAAACTTCTAAGACTGGACCTGCTCTTCTGGAAACAATTCTTACAATCTGATCCCCCAAAACTGCTCGTGCTCAAGTGTGTTTTCAGTCCCAGACCCTGAAAAATTCTACTTGTGGGCTAAAGGAATTTCTAGTCTTTACTGGATCAAATTCAAGTATGCCATCAGGTAGGTACAAGCAAATACTGAAATTTAGTGACTTCAAAATACGTACAAACCCTTTATTTGATCCATTTTGTTGTATCCACACAGTTGCTGTGATGGGTGGTAACTCCCATTAAATTTACATAGCAACATTAATTCTGTGCATTTCCACAGCATTTTCTTTTTGCTTGAAAACACTTCACAGCCATTACTTGCCCTCTACAGACACATCACACTGTGGCATTTCTGTGACCTGGTAGAGAGAACACAAAAAAGTACTAAAAAATGTAGTCACATTGCCAAATTCATACCACTATTGGCAGAGTAATAAATCTGTACAAAGCTTCACTGATAAGCAAGTAGTAGAAACTATAATAAGGAATAGAATTAATAAACAGATCAACATGATACACTTTGGAAGAACCCAGATGTTTGGTGGGTTTGTTTGATTTTTTTTTTTTGGTAAATGGGAAATCTGTATCAAGTACTATAAGACTTCTCAAAAGGGCTCTGCTTTCAATTGTGCTCCTCAACAAGACTTTTAAGATAACCAAACAGCCATTGCTCAGGAGGGAAGGGTCCTTCTGGGGCAAATAGCTGTTAAAAATAACAGACAGGAGACAAGATGGTCAGTGCTCACCATGGACCAAATGCATCAGTGCAAAAAGGATGCTGTGAATGCAAAAGTTTAACACTAGCTCAGTGGAGAACTGGAAAAATCTGTCAAGGTTAAATGCACAAACCCCATATTCAGCTTAGGACGTGAAAATTGTTGGAGGCTGGACAGCAGTAAAGGAAGAAGCATTTATACCTACTTTCTTCTTAGGCTTTTATCAAGGCATCCACTTACAGTGTCTGCTGGAGTCAGGATCGATATCAGCCAGGCCCAGCATGGCCATTCTTCTTTTATACTCTAGCTACTGCTCTGTAGTAGTAATCCTCATGACCTTTTGGGCAGAGAGGTACCTTGACAGAAACTGCTATTTTGCTAGAAATGTCACAGAATGATAGGTAGCCCAGTCTAAAACCACTCTGGGTCAACAAGCCTGAAATAAGCAACAATTTTAATCCTTGAAGAGTCAGGAAGACAGAAGAGTGCTCCCAAGGCATATTATGTTTAGTTGTGTTTGCATCCTAGTGGTATCAGTAAGTTCAGGACTTTGCATCAGGCCAGGAAAACAGTAACATTTGTGTCCTTTGAACAACTGAGTTCCACATATCAAAAAAAGGTGACATTTATTTCTTTAGGCAGCAAGCCATCAAAGAATTGTGTATTCAGATGTGTCATAGCTATTTAGTTAATTTTGTAAACTGATGTACTTCTTTTACTCTGGAGTTTGCATTTCTGCTTATGGTCTGGTATCTGGAGAAATGAGTATTTTCTGACATTTGCAGTGAGCAATCTGAAGAAAAGTATTTGACTAGACCCAGAGTTGACTTCCACAGAGACACGGCACATTTCCTGATATTACTGCAGCCCAAGGAGGTGAACAATTTTAAACATACAGTATAATCTAAACAAAAAGAAAATCTAAACTTGCATATTATTAACAGTCATTGAAGTCTGAAATTCAACTTGAAATCTGGCCCATCAGAGAAATTTAGTATTTAGTGAACACTGCTACTTTTGTGTGAATCTAAAGATTTTATTTTTGTCTTTTGGAAGATGTCTATTTTTTTCCACTCAAAGCTTCATTTTGAATGGTCATACTGTACAGCTGGAGTGAAGTTTGTGGACCCATCAACAAATAACTCCTGCGTATCAGAACTGCACTGGATCACGATGTAGGTGCCCAAGCACACACCAGTCTCCCCCAGACTAAAACAGAGGCTGAAGCTCGGCTCTGCCTCTGCTCCTGGAAGCTGCTCGCCTTGTGACGCTACCAGAGAAACGGCACAAGAGGGCGTCTGATGCCTCCAACATTTGAAGTCTTGACTTCCACATACTGTCTTTTCTGCAATACTATGTTATATTTCCTAATGATTGTAGCAAGGGGACATGACAAAGCCCTGAGCAATACCATAGCTGCATATGGTTTAGCATTAGTTTTGCTACCCTACTGAAAGCATTTAAGAATATTTTCATAATCTACTACATAAAGACTGGATTCTCTGTTAACAATTTCACCTTTTTTAAATAAAAGTCTGTACTAGTTTCTGGGGGGGGTTTCCTGCCATATGTGAGCTCTAAATGGTAGGAAGCAGGAGAAACAGGTCCAGAAACAGTAAGATAAAAGCCAAAAAGGTTAAATAATTTTATGTCAAATTTAGTCTGGCAATCACCCAAACCATGGACTTTGGCAGATTGCTTGTTGGTTATAACAGAAGCCACTTCCTCTGCAGCAGCAGGCATATCAACACCATTGTCTGCTTCCTGGGGATGGACTTGGGGTGTTTCAGTCCTCTGGGTGGAAGGTCCAAGCTGTGCAATGTTCTTACGTGGAGCCGAGTGATTGAAAAACACAAAGCCACAAACCCCCACCGGTGCCCCCGTGGGGAATTCTCCCATGTATATCTCGTTAGGGATTGAATCGGGGTATTTTTCTCCCTGCCCTGGCTCCGGGCACTCTGACAGCTCCATTGAGTAGAGGGGAGGAAGGCTCTGCCCATGGCTCCTCTACAGCTGCAGATGACTCATGCTGGAAGAGCCCCTTTGAGCCAGATTTCAGTAGTTTTCCCAAGTTCGTTTCAACACACTGAGTTCTATCACTTTAAAGTTCCCCACATAACTGTTGCTTGCACAGCAGAGCCTGGCCTGGTGCACAGGGACAGACCTCAGGAAGCAGCAGGCCGAGGCTGCTCCCCAGGGGTGAGGGGCCGCCTGCTCCCTCCTGGCAGCCACACTCCTCCTTCTCCTGCAGTAACATCCCCAAGGAGAAACTGCTCCATCCATGCTGCCTTCTTAGGACAGGCAGAAACAGAGAAACAAACCCTGCTGCTCTCCTGGTCCATGAAAGGAACACTGGGCAGATAAGACTTTTTCAGTGCTCTCCTCCCATGACCAGCACTGCCTGGCCAAAGGAGCAAGGATACGTTTGAAGCTCCCATTCCTGTTTTCCACTGCATCTTCCCTACCCTTGCTTTCTCTACAGCTCCAGACAGGGCTATGGAGGCACACAGTTATGCTGGTTCCAGGGGCTCACCCACATCAGGTCAAGACAGACAATCCTGTGTAAGCAGGTTCCTACCAAAAATGGAATGAGGAAGGTTGCCTCTTCCTCCTGCTCTGCTTCCCACTCCATACAGGGGAGGCTCAAAAAAGGGACTTTCCATTTGGATTTCAGCCATCAGAGCAGAAGCAAAGTCTTCTTGTAGGGCACAAGAAAGCCTTTCTTGCAGGGGGGATTGGGCAGACCACGCTGCCACGCACTCCCCTACAGCAGTGTGCAAGAATGACATCATTACACCAATACATGAGACAGGAAGTGCAACCAAGCAGAAAAACCACTGAAAGTATCTGTGAAGTGCTGCCAAGAATGCTAACGATGGCACTAAACAGAAAACCAGAAAAGAGGTTTGGTTCATCTAACTTCTTCCAGCTTTAGTCATCTCTAGTGTCACTTGTAACAGTAACAGTAGATAGTAAAAAAATAGGTCCTTGGAAAGACACTGATAAGGGCCATTTTTTTTTCTCCAGGTGATAGTGACTCTCTATTGTCTTATCCCAGTCCTCAAATTAAATTCAGTACTTTGACACCAGCCTAACGAACCAGATGAACTGGCTGGGATTTTTAAACCTCCCTCTCCCCTTTTTTTTTTTTTTAAATTATACTAGTGCATTAACAATGATCTTGGTAAGCCATTCTTGCATTTGTCTTCTTACTATGTAGATTCCTTTGTTTTCCAGAAAATTGCACTGAGGTCTACAGTCTCCTTCATTAAGGCTCACTTGCCTAACTGCAGCTGCTCAAGCCTGAGCCAAGGCTTCTTTGTTGTCACCCAAGAGTCACATATTTCATCTTGTATTAATGTAAACATACGGGGTCACCTGAGCCACACTTCATCTGTAAGACTTCTTTCCATTAGTCCTAAAGATTTCTAAACAGATCCTAGAAGCTCACAGCCAGCCGAGTTTGTGTCCCCTACCTGCCTGCTGACAGAGTGGCAGCACCCAGGACAGGGTTGGCACTTGGCAGAGGGGAAGCAAAACCATCAACAACCACAGCTTTCCACCGTTACAAATGTGCACATAACTTACAGATAGGACTTCATGAAACCACAAAGCCAATCTAATTGCTGACTGCTGCCAAAACAGGAGGTTTCTCCTCCTGCTTCCCTTGCACTGGCACTTATTTGACTCTGTAACCAGCCATCCACAGAGCTACACTCACATCAATTGCCCACTGCAAGAAAAGTGAGGTTTCTTCTGCTGACCCAGCTTACTGAAAGTTTACCTGCCTGACAGTGCTGGTATGCAGGTGGACTGACTGGGGAGAGAAGGAAGCTCACAAATCCTTTGAATTATGATACCGAATCTGTACAGCATAATACAAAGTATTGCAGCCTTAGCAATGTATCATTCCCCTCAAAAGCTTGTTCATAAACTGCCAGTTTGTACAAACATAAACCATCCCACGCAGAAATTACTAAATGAAATACTGTCACTCACATGACATTTTCAGTTCTCTGCTGTTGTATCTGTAACATCTACCTAACATTTGGAAAATACAGTAAATATGTCGTTACTTCTCCTCATAATTCAGCATCAGATCTTACAAACCAGCAGGTATGAAAAATATAATTAATTCCTTAACCTTTTGAAAATTTTATTTAACGATCCTGTTTAACTATCATACAGCTGGAATACAATGAAAATATCAATGGATATGTAGCAATTGACAGATTAATTCATCCCCAGCTTTTACATGGCTTCTGTACAAAATACACACAGAAATCAGAGACCTTCCAAAAAATCCCAACCTTAAACAGGATTAAGCAGCCTTCAAATAAGCACCAGTCCCATCAGCAGTCTGCCATCAAATTAAGTCAGCCTGCTTTCTCTCATTTATACCCTCCTATAGATGGGAGCAGAGAATCTGAGCCTCTAGAAACGAAAGCTGTGTACAGCTGTGACAATGACATTACTGAGTGCAGTCACCTGTGGTGTGAGCTACAGGCCCCAAATCTACCTCCCTTAATTCTATAAGTGTGCTCCCCATTCTAAAGGCTTTCAAAAGAAACAAACAACAAGAGAAAGAACAGCAACTCCTGATTTAGAACCCATAGGAAATAATTCTTTGCTTTGGTTACAAA